ACCAGCCCCCCCCCCCCCCCCCCCCCGGCCTCAGGATCTGTTGCGGCCATAGCAGAGAGGCAGCAAAGAGAATAGAGGGGGTTTGATTGAAGCACTAACGCCTGGAGCGAATGTTTCAGAGACCTAACAGCAGGCAACCCAACAGGAAAGGGACCCCAGATATTAGCCGTCTAGAGGCCAAGTCGGGGCCCAACACCACAGGCCGAGGTGTCGTTCGGATTACCTGCCCATGGCACCAAGGTAGTCACAGCTTCTCCTCTGCTTAAAGAGAATAGAGGGGGTTTGATTGAAGCACTAACGCCTGGAGCGAATGTTTCAGAGACCTAACAGCAGGCAACCCAACAGGAAAGGGACCCCAGATATTAGCCGTCTAGAGGCCAAGTCGGGGCCCAACACCACAGGCCGAGGTGTCGTTCGGATTACCTGCCCATGGCACCAAGGTAGTCACAGCTTCTCCTCTGCTTTGCACGAAGACAAGTCCTCCTGATCAGAGCGTGTCTGATTGGAAGGAGAACAAAGAGCAGGTTAAACTTTGAAAAGCCGGGAGAGAGAGTGAGTGTTCTCCCCTCTTGCTCACACCAACTACAAACCAAACCACACACCACTCGGCTAGTTACAAATGTAGTTACTGAATCTTCCAGTGCGGCGGAAGAGAATGACCATTCCTCTGCCAGACGTCCTCCTCTTGCTTCATAGGCTGCATCGTCTTCCACTGCGAAACAGCAGAACTGAAGGTTACAGGCAACACAACCCTCCACCACCAACCGCCATTGCTTCTTTAAGGGGCTGTGCAGGCTAGCATCCAAAGCATCCCCGCCCCCTTTATTAGCTTATGCATATTCATAACTCAAAGGTGCTTTATGCAAAGCACATCACAGGACATGTCATTGTAAAAGCTGTAATCTGTCGAATCCGCATATTCTATTTTTGTGCTTGTATCATTCTTGCAGGTGAGGTTAGAAACATGAAGTGTGGATCTGATTTTAATTCCAATGTGCTCCCGAGGGCCAGGACTGATGCTCTGGAATGTTAATGGCCCAGTGCTCAAGGTAACAATCTGTGAATGGGTTTGTTTTTCCTGGACGCCTGGACTGTGGTTGGTCCTGGCAGGATATGGCCAGGCAACCTGATGCTGAAATCCATTTTGGAGCTGGTATTTTTCTACTCAAAGGGAGAGAAATATGAACTGAGCAGAAGAAATTCCCTCCTTGGGCAAAAGGGATATAAGGGGGACCAAATAAGGAGAGTGCCCCTCCCCCAGGAGACCCCTCCCCCCATTTCGGCAGTGCTGTCGGTCCAGTGCATTACAGGTACCAGGGGGCCAGTTCTACTCACAGATGAGGTGCTGTCCATTGAGATAAACCGGCCCAGTCCCAGACTTCAATTCAAAGGCAACAGGAGGGACGAATTCGAAGCCATCCAGACTGATCTGAAACAAACATTTACAAGAAAAAAAAAAAAATCACTGAGCTATGGAGGAGGAGGACGGTGGCTGGAGAGCAATGCAGGAAAGCCAGCTGGGGGGGAGGGGGCGTTCCAGGGCATGGGGGCTTCACAAGGACTCCTCTGCTCACTGAAGAGCCTGCAGGGGCGCCAGCCAACCTCTGCCCTCAGTGACACCCCAGCTGCAGGGCACCCAGGGGGAGGCACAGGTGTGGCAGGGGGCACACACCACCCCCAGTCACACAGCGCACAAGCAGGCGGCTAAAGCCACGGCCAAGTCACTAACACACACAGCCCGGGGATGGCACCTGCAGATACTGCTGGGCCAGAGGGGTTAACGTGGGTCTTCACTGGCAGACAGACGCTGCAAGCTCCGGGACGGGGGGCAGGGAGACAAGGGACTTCAGGCCCCTGCTTTCTCTGAGCCGGGGGAGCTGTTGAGTTCCCGGAACGCCAGCGCCTCTCCCAGCTAGCCGTGGGCACAAGGACCCCGGCCCGGAGACGGCTGTTGGCAGCAGGTGGGTCTTAAACAACCAGCGACTTAGTGCACAGAAGCGTCTAACTGCAAAGACGACAGAGCCCTTCTGTGACCTTTGGGCTTGGCGCCAAACATCTGCTTCAGGCCCTGGGTCTGACAGTAAAACCTCTCGCTCCTCTCTCCTGTCATGAGCTGGGGAGATTTCTAGCAATTTACAGCTACAGCCCAGACGGCTACAATTCACTGGATTTCAGCACCAGCCGGGAAAGCAAAGCAGGGGAGGCGGGTGGCAGAGAGCAACTCTGCTCGCTTGGATATTTTCTGAAAGCTGCCTAAGACTATTACATCTGGGCGAGTGCTACCACCAAGTCGTGGGGAAGTAACAGCTGGTTCTAGTCGCGATCAGGTTGTGTCCCGTTTACGGCGATGCGCTTTCACTTTTAAGCGGTCTCTGGGCATCTCTCTTTCTACTCTCTGGGTGCATTTAGATCCCGAGGCTCAAAGAGATGATCTGTCATCCGCTAGTCCAACCCGCATAACAGGCTGAGTTTGCTCCCCTTACACCGTGCAGAACGACACAGATTCACCTCCATGACAACACTGGGGGACAAGCGCATCTTTGCTTTGCACATGGAGAAAGCTTGCTCAGGTGGTGGGTCCCACAGGAGGCTCCATCCCAAACGTGGGCTAAGTGACTTGACCGTGGCTACAGAGAATCGCCAGCAGAGCGCAGATGCGCCTAGCTCCTAGCCTCACCACCGCACCCCACTGACTCCCAGTCTCTACACCGAGGTTGCAGGATTCGCCTGAGGCGGGACACGCCACGCAGCGTACACCAGCACGCTCTGCGCTAGCTCCCCCAGCTTAGCTGCTTGCTGGGCAGAGCGTCTCCCGGCGTTACACAGCAGGGCTCCCCGCAGAGTTACCATGGGCAGGACAGAGAGTCTCAGGGAAGCGATGGGGACCGGCCTGTTGTCACCGCAGGTGTTTTTCGAAGCTACAGCCACCACGTGCGGTTCATCCTTGGCCTCCGCGCTGAGGCAGATCTGCAAGGACAGAGCAGAAGGCCCCCTCAGGAAGCTGCTCCCCTCGGTGTGCCCCAGGGCCAATGCCAGCCCCCACTGCCAGCCGGCCTCTCCGACCTTTCGGCCGGCAACTGGCTCATGTTAAACCAAACTAAGCCCCTTGGACTGAAACGGGAGCATCCACTCCGGGGTTTACACCCAGGTAAGGAAACCGGTGCGAGCCGGTGGGCAGGCAAGTCCGCCAGCCAGTTACCGTTTTCAGCAAGACCAGGTGTTCCAAGAAGTCATCGTCTTCCATCACCACACACCTCCGATTGCTAGTGCTCAGCTCACAGCCTACGGGAACGACACAGCGGGATCTGCAGGAGGCCGTACGGCCCTACGCAAACCCCTCAGGACACAAGGGAAAAAAAAAATGCAGCTGCCAAGGGAAGTTGTAGAACCAAGGAACCCCTCCAGGCCCAGAAGGGACGCGGGCAGGAACTGAACCGGGGACCTCTGGAGCTTAGTGCAGGAGCGAGAAGCCAGCAGGACTCATTGTTCTCTTGAAATGGTCTTGGGACCGCGAGCAGGGACAGCGCGCCACACCCAGAAGGTGGGCGGGTTACACACACGCACCACAGGCCCGAGGCACAGCCGGGCGTTTCCTGTTGGCAGAAACTACAAGGCCAGAAAGCAGCAGCGAGACCCTCCTGTCCGATCTCTTGCGGAACACTGGGCAGTCACCCGCCCGATCACCCTGCCCCCAACCCTGGTCTGGCTGGGCCACCGCTGCTCAGCGGACGTGTCGCCTGGCGGGAAGCTGGCCCCTAGCT